ATCATACGCATGCTAAACTAACACAGCTTTTAGTGAATTCGCCTCTTATGCTTTCAATAAAAATCGACATGAAAAATCGACATGAAGAATTGTTTCTAAGGCATACATTTCAAGAACCTGTTTTAATGAAACACAAGCAGAATAAAATTCTGTGTAAATCATACGTAAAACCAGTTCCCTTTCGTGGAACTTCGAACTGCGTCCTCTAGGGGTCGCTATGGGGAACGCCTCGTCGTGACCCGTGTCTGAAGCCTACATTGAAAAAACACCAACTTGTTTGGCCGGCGACAGCCATGACGTCACTACTGTCGCGACTAGTACAAAATAGGCGCCGGTAGCGCACATCATTCTTGTACTAGTCGCGACGGTAGTGACGTCATGGCTGTCGCCGGCCAAACAAGTTGGTGTTTTTTCAATGTAGGCTTCAGACACGGGTCACGACGAGGCGTTCCCCATAGCGACCCCTAGAGGACGCAGTGTCTCGTTCCCCTCAGGGAACCATGGTTACACAAGTAACCTGAGACGTTTTCTATGAATTGCCCAAATTTAGCATATTAATGAATTTATGAATGATTTGCAGAGAAATTCATTCTGCGTGTGGCAGAATGTATTTAATGGTTGCGAACAGATTAAAGAAGTGTGTTTGTGGTTGAAGGAAAACTGTTTGACAGATTCACTTTCATTTAATCGGTCCTGAAAACATAAACGTCTACTTGTAACGCCCCTCTATAATGAAAAACATGGTGAAGTGTGTGTGTGTGTACCTGGTATTCACGATGTTATGGGGATGAAATGTCCCAACAGGGATAGTAATACCAGTAAAAAAAATTTATTTTTTCGTCCCCATTAGGAAAACAGCTAAGCTGTTTTTTGAAAATCTGGTAACACTTTAGAATAGGGACCAATTCTCACTATTAAAGGGGTCATATGATGCTATTTTAAAGATCATTATTTTGTGTATTTGGTGTAACAGAATATGTTGACATTCTTTAATGTTCAAAAAACACATTAGTTTTCAAATACTGTACACTATTGTAGGTCCGCTATGCTCCGCCTCTCTCAAACACGTAGTTTTCAACAAAGCCCCCTCCTTTGACAAGCAATCTCTTTGGATTTGAGACTTCAGTCTTTGCAACTTTACAGATCTTCTTTATGCACCAAGAGCTTGTAACACTCCAAAGAGAAAGGAAAACTTGAAATCGCACCATATGACCCCTTTAACTAGTTGCTTATTAGCATGCATACTGGCTGTTTATTAGTACTTGTAAAGCACATATCCTGCACATATCCTAATTCCATCCTACCCAATATTTAAACTTAACATCTACCTTACTAACTATTAATAAAAATGCTGCTAAATATTTTGTGTGAGGAATAGGTTTAGGGGTAAGTTTAGAATAAGGGGATAGAAAATACAGTTTGTATAAAAACCATTACACCTATGGAATGTCCCCATAAAACATGGAAACCATTGTGTGTGTGTGTGTGTGTGTGTGTGTGTGTGTCAGACTTTGATCAGTAAAGTTCCTGGTGACTTGGAGGCAGATTAAACAGTTTTTCCAAATTAGAGCATCCACTCACTCACCCTGTCTCAGCCATCCCTCTCTCTCTCTCTCTCTCTCTCTCTCTCTCTCTGCTATCTAAAGTTCTCACTTTCATTCTTACCCTGCTGTTATCAGACATTTGACTAAATAAGATCAGTGGTTAACTGCCAAATCAAATGTATTTTATGTTTTTTGTTTTGTTTTGTTTTTTTTCAGTCCACTATTTTTCTTACTTTCTTCTTCTCTTCTTTACAGTGCATTCCAGAAAGAACAATTTATGATAACATTTTTATGATCAGAGACATTTTAGATTACTCCAAACTATATGAAGTGAATGTTAGCTTTTTGCTCTTGGATCAGGAAAAAGCTTTTGACAGAGTCGACCATGGTTTTCTGTTTGAAACAATGAGTGCTTTTGGGTTTGGATATGTTTTTATTTCTTGGATCAAACTCTTATACATGAATGCCTCTTGTATTTTAAAAATAGGTGATGGGTTAAGTAAACCAATAAGATTACTTAAAGGTATAAGACAAGGATGCCCACTGTCTGGACAGTTATATGCTTTAGCAGTGGAGCCACTCCTGTCTCTATTAAGAAAAGATCTGTCTGGTTTAAAGGTTGATGGGAACTGCAATGCGTTTAAGTTAACAGCATATGCAGATGATATTACTGTAATTGTGAAAGATCAAAGAGATATTGATATTGTTAATTACAGTATCTCTTTATATGAGAAAGCATCGTCTGCAAAATTGAACTGGAGTAAAACAGAAGCATTTTGGTGTAATGATCAATGCAAAAGAGCAATGCCTTTACCTGTTATTTTATTTCTGGAACTGTAAAGTGGGGAAAAGATGGTTTTAAGTTTTTGGGCATCTTTTTAGGTTCAGAAGTGTATCAAAGGAAAAACTGGGAAGGTGTAAAAGATAAAATTTGCAATAGATTATCAAAATGGAACTGGATTTTACCTCAATTATCTTATAGAGGAAGAGTGTTGGTTATAAATAATCTTGCCGCCTCTGTCCTATGGCATAAACTAATTGTGTTGAACCCACCAGATGAATTCTTTAGGGAAATTCAAAAAGTGTTTGTTAATTTTTTTTGGAATGGACAACATTGGCTAAGAGAGTCAGTATTGTATCTGCAGTTAAGTGAAGGAGGCCAAGGTCTTATGGACATTAAGTCCAAAGTAGCTGCATTTAGACTGCAGACTGCACAAAGACTCCTCTATCACCAGTCTCAGAACTGGACAGAAATAGCTTGTGTTTTATTAAATAGAGTGGGGCGGATGAACTTGGATAGACACCTCTTTTTAATGAATTTGAAGGAAGTGGATTTTAATGGACTCCCTTCTTTTTATGCATCAGTATTAAATGTATGGCAAATATTTACTGTTAAAAGACAGCAGTCTGAGATAACCCATGAGTGGGTTCTTGAAGAACCTTTAATTTGTAATCCTCTTTTATCTAGTGTGATTTTAAAATCTAAGGGTGTCTGCACAAGCCTGGTTAGAGCAGGAATATGCAAAATCTGTCATCTTAGGTCAAGGGATCAGTGAAGGAGGCCCAGGTCTTATGGACATTAAGTCCAAAGTAGCTGCATTTAGACTGCAGACTGCACAAAGACTCCTCTATCACCAGTCTCAGAACTGGACAGAAATAGCTTGTGTTTTATTAAATAGAGTGGGGCGGATGAACTTGGATAGACACCTATTTTTTATGAATTTGAAGGAAGTGGATTTTGATGGACTCCCTTCTTTTTACGCATCAGTATTAAATGCATGGCAAATATTTACTGTTAAAAGACAGCAGTCTGAGATAACCCATGAGTGGGTTCTTGAAGAACCTTTAATTTGTAATCCTCTTTTATCTAGTGTGATTTTAAAATCTAAGGGTGTCTGCACAAGCCTGGTTAGAGCAGGAATATGCAAAATCTGTCATCTTAGGTCAAGGGATCAATGGATTTCTGCAGAAAATCTGGCCATGAAGATTGGTATCCATTCTGTTCGGACTGTTGAAAAATTATTATCTGAAATGGATTTCTTCAGAAAATCTGGCCATGAAGATTGGTATCCATTCTGTTCGGACTGTTGAAAAATTATTATCTGAGATTCAGGAGTCTTTTCCTGTAATACCATTGCAAGAAGAGATAGTTAAGAATGTATTCCCTAGCACCAGTGTGGGTGTAAATGTAGGAGATTGGCAGGAGGTTGATGGAAGATTACTTTCTTTTACAACACCTGAACTTGGCCTCTTTGTCACTATATCTAAGAAGTCACTTTATCTTGTTTGTGTCAAATATCTAAATTTAAGAGCATTGAAAGATCTTCCAGAGACCAAATGGACTAATTTTGTTGAATTAGGTACTACTCCAAAAGGATGTTGGAGGTCATTGTATAAGAAACCAATTGAAAAACGAAGTGGGGATTTGCAATGGCGGATTTCTCATTGGATTTTGGCAACAAACCGTTATAAAGCTCATCTAAATGCTTTGCAAGGAGAAGAGTGTTTGTTTTGTGGTCTTTCAGAAACAGTATTTCATATATTCATTGGATGTTCAAGGTTATTAGGAATTCTTGGTGTGTTAAGAGACTTGAGCAATAATCTTGGTTTTATTTTTACAAATAGTTTCTTTATTTTTGGACCAAAATATAGCGCCTCAAACAAGAGTAAAATAGTTTTGATGAATTTTTTATTTGGTAAGGCAAAAATGGCAATTTGGCTGACAAGAAAGAGCAAAATGCTGCTTAACAGTGATGCCGATCCTTTGAACATGTTCAGAGCTCTGGTAAAAAGTAGGCTGGTTATGGAGTATAAGTATTATGAATTGGTGAATGATACTGAATCTTTCTTTTTTTTATGGGGTGTTGGAAATATTTTGTCAACCCACTGAAGAGGGAGGTTGTGATTATATTGTTATAAAAGAAGCTGTTTTTATTAGTTTTAAATAATTTTATTTATAAGAATATGTATTTATGAAGTAATGGATTGTGTTTAATGGTGTATGTTTTTTTGTGCCAATCGATTGTAATTAAAGAGATGTTGAAAGGTCTTCTTTACAGTGCCTACTGTCTTCTCTCACTGTTCAGCAGTTAACTTGCTAAACAATGCTAACTGATGGCATTATTGCAATCTCTTTCAGTTATTTTAGTATTTTTATATGCTATAGTATTTTTAAATTTGAAAAATTATTTTTAAAAGTTACATTACATTTTAGTTTTTTTTTTCTCATTTATTATTTATATAATTTATTTGTTTTAGTTTTAGTATTTTAGTACTTTAACTTATAGCAGTCATTAGCAAGGAAACATTTCTAATTTTCATCTAATATTTATATTTTATTTTATATCAGCTGTATTTCAATGACCAAAAACAATTCATAATACTGCTTTCCATTAACGAATCTGTCTGTATTTTTCCTTTCCCCCTTTCTTCCATTTCTCCTCTACTTTACTGCAGGTTTTCTTAGCACAGGAGATCAGTCTGCTAAAGGGAACTATGGCCTGTTGGATCAAATCCTGGCCTTGCGTTGGCTGAATGAGAATATTGGACACTTCAGTGGCGACCCTGAACGGATCACTATCTTTGGCTCTGGGGCTGGAGCATCTTGTGTCAACCTACTCATCCTGTCCCACCACTCTGAGGGTAAGACAAATGCATGTGTTTGTCCATGTGTTAATGCTTTAACAGACTAATACTATCCCTGCACAGGTTTCCATCTCATTATTAATGCTGTGTGCGTGCGTGTTACCTCACAAAATGTCTCACCATCCTGTCCAACTCTGTTTTGTTGCATTGCTCGTCAAAAAAGTCCACCTTTACCCGCACCATCTTCGTCATCACTGTCATCCTCCCCTAACATCAGTCCTACAGCCCTCAGCTGTCAATCACACTAGGTAAGTCATGACAGTTGTTACTCTGGAGAAACCAATCATGTTATTTCCCTGTAAAGAGCCCAAGTCAACGGAAACAGGAACAGATAAACAAATAAAGGTTTGTAGGTAAGTGTTAAAGGGATAGTCCACCTAAAAATGAAAATTCTGTCATCATTTCCTCACTCTCATGTCGTTCCAAACCTGTATGACTTTTGTGGAACACAAAAGAACATATTCTGAAAAATGTTAGTTACTGAACACTTTCAGTCTCACTGACATCCATTGTATGGACAAAAAATAAAGTGAAGTCAAAGGGGATCAAAACTGTTTGGTTATCATTCTGCAAAATATCTTCTTGTGGTGTCTAGGTAAAAAATGCATACATATTTGGAATGACATCGGGGTGAGTAAGTTATGAATTTTCATTTTTGGGTGGACTATCCCTTTCAGGTTAAGTAAGTGGATAACGTTCACTCAAGTGGAGCAAAGAAAAAAAAAACAACAAAGTGAGTTTTTGAGCACCGCTTAACTAAATTTCTGTTAGGACCACTATCATCGAAGATGATTGACACTTAGCATACAGTTTGGATTGGCACTATAGTTCTGTTCTGGGCAAAAACTCCCTGCCCATCCATGCAGCCTGTCATGAATGAGCAGGGAGAGCAGCAAAATCAGAATCAGATTTGGAATCAGAAAGATTTTTATTGCCAAGTGTGTTTACACACACAAGGAATTCATCTTGGTGTCAGGAGCTTCCAGTACAGAATGTACCAACATAGTGCAGACATACATATAATTTAAGGTAATAAAAACACTAATAATAAAGAGAATAGACAATAAATTATAAATAGCAATATAGCAATAACCCCCTTTGTGTAAACAGAACAGAAACAAATGCAGATATCATTAATGTTCTTAATGACATTTTAGTGTAACGACATTATTCAAGATAAAAGGAGTCTGATTCAATGAGGAATATCAGACAGCCAAGTCCTGACTGTGATGAAAGGAGGAGTTGGGCATGGGGGAGGGTAATTTGTTCCTGAGCAAGCGATAAAGCTGCTGAATAATACTGAATAGACCTTATATAGGAATGCCACGATAGGCGTCGTATTCCTATAGGTAGACGTGGATCATCAGCTGATGCAAGCGTGACTCATGTGACCTGCCAGAACTAACGTTACGCTTGATGTCTGTTTGTGTAATTGTTTGGACAAGCTAGGTAAAGAGAAATGCACAGGCGTGTTAGCAGAGACAAAGCTACAGTAGCCCCTTATTGATTTCCCTGGGAAAGGTAACATGATCTTCAATAATTAAAAAGACTGAAAGAGAGGAAGGAGGGCAGAACAAGGAAAAGACGAGCCCTTCGGTAATATGTTTCTGCTTTGTTTGTAAAGTGTTTGTAAATGAAAAGGCTACAAGAGAATAATAGATTTACTGTTATTATTTCAATGCAAGATGGAATTAGTACAATGTTATCTCAATAATCACTGAAAAATGGAGTTTGTGCCAAATCAAATCCTAATTTTCCTCTGTTCTGCTTTTTCATTGATGCAATTCCATCTGACACTGTGTTAAGCGCTACTGGAACTGACAGTAATTACATCCAATTAACAAGCCCCGGATATACTAAATATATAACATAACATTTAAATAACCATACTACAGTATACTTTCATATCACAGTTAAATGGCTACTTCTGGAAAATTGAGAATTGAAAATGTCCTGCAGTGTGACATGCTAAACTCTTTTAAGACTTTTAAAATTGTTTTAAACAGCATTTTGCTAATTAATATACATTAAGATTTTATGACCTCATATTATTTTGAAACTATTATGAGGTATGTGTGCTTAAAAATTAATTTGTCACACCTCAGGACTACTGGAAATGATGAAAACCATTTTAAACCATTGATAATTTATGAAAAACTGATGGTGACCAGTTAGAGGGCACTTTCTAATATATATATTAGATCCATGACATGTTATGCGTCAACTACCCTTATATGTATAAACCAGGTATGTTATGTTATTATCATGTATGCAGGTTTCCTTCTGTGTAGTTAACAGCTTGTTATTGCTCCCTCCCGTCCCAGGCCTGTTTCAGAGAGCCATTGCTCAGAGTGGTTCAGCCATCTCCAGCTGGTCCATTAGCTACCAGCCCTTGAAGTACACTAAGATTCTGGCCCGTAAAGTGGGATGCACATATGGGGAGACCGCAGACCTGGTGGACTGTCTCCGCAAGAAAAATTTCAGAGAGTTGGTGGATCAGGACATCCAGCCGGCCCGCTACCATATTGCATTTGGACCTGTGGTGGACGGAGATGTTGTGCCAGATGACCCCGAGATCCTGATGCAGCAGGTGATTTTGATTACTGTTATTTGTGAAGATGGATTCCAAGACTTATGTTCGTTTAAATTCAACGTAGTCTATCAAACATTTCCAAGCCAAGGATTAGGTTTAAACTATGTCCAGTAAACCATCCAAACTACCTTTTAAACCAAATCTTAGTGAGGCTTCAAGCACAGGATTTTGAATAAAGCTTGATCAGACCTACTTTTGTAAATGCAGACTGAATGTTCCATGAAAATGACACCATTTACTTTTGATATGCAATGATATGCCATCATGTTATATAACAATGTCAGATATGCGTGTGATTCTTCAATTAAGGTCAGTAAATTCTTAAATATATATATATTTTTTTTATGAATGACATTTATAATCTTTACATTTTCACTTATCATTTATTAAAAATATTAATAAAGACCAAAATAATTGGGTGTTTACAGGTGGAATTTTTATTAATTTAAAAATCTCTGGAATTTCAGATCTCAGAAAAAGGTATTTTTTTAAGATGAAAAAAAAAGTGCAACGTAAAATTGCCCTGATGTTAACACCTTTTATGAATTCAGTTTTTCTTTAGAATAATTCTAGGGAACCTAGGTTGAAGAATGCCATATATGTAAGAAATCAACAAATGACTGCTTTTACCTGCTGGTTACTTGCAATAAGTTTGTCTGAGAATGTTAAATTCTTTCTCCACTAGGGGGAGTTCTTGAACTACGATCTTCTGATTGGTGTAAATCAAGGGGAGGGGCTGAAGTTTGTGGATGATGGGGGCACTGAGAGTGAAGAAGGGATTTCCGCTGCAGCTTTTGACTACACCATCTCCAACTTTGTGGATAACCTCTATGGATATCCTAAAGGTAAGATCTTAAGTCCCCTTTTTTTATTTGACTTTTATTTTTCTTGCCTGTTTTACAATTATCATTAAAAAGTAAACACTAAGGTTTCTATATCAGCATATTTCATATTAAATTGTGCCAGAGTTTGTCAGTTTTATCAGGGTGAAAAAAATGGATGTTTAGATTAAATCGTGAAATTAAAGCTTCTGAATACAGGTTTAATGCAGAGCAGTCCTTGTAGTTCTTATGTTTATTTTGCCTAGTGAAGACTCAAGTCTGGTTGGGTAAACATCATTCTGACTTTTAATGAGGCGCAATGCTGAGTACAGCAATAAAATTGGTACTAGGTATTCCGCTTACTCTTGATTAGGTGCTGTTGTTAACTTTTTCCGCCAGAGGACGATAAAAGACAAGCAATATCCATCAGCATGCTATTTTATGTGACCTGTGATGTGGATATTTTATACCTGGTATTTAATGTCCTATGGATGTGAGCTATCATATATATATTGTTATTTTTACAAATAGCATGCATTCATGGGCGAATTTTCTCCACGTTTTTTAGACAAACGTATTCATACACACACTCAAATACAATTGCTCAAATGTTCAAATGCTCAGTCACTTTCCTCCCACTCGTTTTCTTGTCTGCTCTTTCTTTACTGTAATTATTCTCTATCTTTTTGTAGGTAAAGACATCCTGAGGGAGACTATTAAGTTCATGTACACAGACTGGGCAGACCGAGAAAATGGGGAAATGCGGCGCAAGACTCTCCTGGCATTATTCACTGATCACCAGTGGGTGGCGCCAGCCGTCGCTACTGCCAAGCTCCATGCAGAGTACCAGTCTCCCGTCTATTTCTACACCTTCTATCACCACTGCCAAACAGAGACTCGACCCGAATGGGCAGACGCTGCACACGGAGATGAGATACCATATGTTTTTGGTGTGCCCATGATTGGAGCAACAGACCTCTTCCCTTGCAACTTTTCCAAAAATGATGTCATGCTTAGCGCTGTGGTGATGACATACTGGACCAACTTTGCCAAGACCGGGTGGGTCTGAATATGCAAAATATTCTCTTTCTTTTTCTTTCTTTCTTTCTTTCTTTCTTTCTTTCTTTCTTTAAATAGCTAAATTACAGGCATAACACATTTGTTTGAAATTACATTAAAATTAATTCTAAAAACGTTTTATTTCCTGACATTAAAATTGGGTCTGGATGATATGGCGAAAGATATTATCATGACATTTTTTTTCCATATCATTCAGTGTTGATATATATCATGATATTAATTTCATACAATTAATAGGGAAGGAAATTCCGCATGTTTGTTAGACCTTGAAAATGAATGTAAACAAATAAGATGTTTTATTTTTTTTATGTTTTAAGTTTTATTTTTCTGGATTCTGTTTTTTATAAATGAATACATATTTTTCATTAAAAATGGTGTCTAATAAAATGAATTCAGAAAACTTTACCAATTCAATCAGTCCTTCAAAACTGTAATCAAGTGGAAATATAACAATTAATTTACAACAACACATTGCATTTTTATTTTGGGTAAAATAAGGTGCTGCACAACAGAATTTGTATGCAGTATTAATTAAAACATAGTTGAAAAAATATCTTGGTTGTATAATATTCATTAAAATCATATTCATATAATAATAATAATAATAATAATAATAATAATAATACTTTGAGAGGTACATTTTATTATACAATAATAAAATATTTCTGTCAAAACATTCAGGGTAAACCAAACCTTTATCTTGGCAGCTTGCCAAGAAGACCTTGAGTTTCAGTGTTCCACATTGTCTAGATGTTGCCTAAATATTGAAAATTTCTCAAAAGTTTATTATCGATGTTGTGATTTTTTTTCCCCCAATAAATATCAATTATCACCTGGCCCAAATTCAAATTGCAGTTCTATATCCTGTTTTGAATTCCAATTTGATTCCTGTTTCGAGAATTTAAAAAGGCTTCTCAATTTCTGAGTGGCTCACAACCTTGGTGTGGAATTCATTAAAATACCCTTTTGACACAAGATATCTGTTTTCTCTAGGGATCCCAACCTGCCTGTTCCTCAGGACACCAAGTTCATCCACACCAAGCCCAACCGCTTTGAGGAAGTGATCTGGACCAAGTTCAACTCTAAAGACAAGCAGTATCTCCACATTGGCCTGAAGCCTCGCATCCGGGACAACTACCGAGCAAATAAGGTTGCCTTCTGGCTGGAACTGGTTCCTCACCTCCACAACCTTCACGAGGAGGTCTTCAGCACTGCCACAACCCGGCTGCCTCCAGGAACCGCCCGTACCCCAATCTGGAAGGGTCAGGGACCCCGTACGACACGCCATCCCATCCCAACCTTCCCTACAGAACTGGACCCAGATGGCTCAGAGCCCCCTCGATTTCCTCCCTTCCCAGGTGACACCCGGGACTACTCTACGGAACTGAGCGTGACGGTAGCTGTTGGCGCATCGCTCCTCTTCCTCAACATCCTTGCCTTCGCCGCACTTTACTACAAGCGCGACAAACAGCACGAGATGCGACGGCACCGCTTATCCCCGCAACGAGGCGTACCTGCTAATGACTTAGCACACAGCCAAGAGGAAGAGATCATGTCCCTGCAAATGAAGCACTCGGAGCACGACGCCCACAACGACATGGAGCCATTGCGACCGCATGATATTTTACGCCCCGCATGCCCACCCGACTACACGTTGGCACTGAGGCGGGCGCCCGACGATGTTCCACTAATGACCCCTAATACTATCACCATGATTCCTAGCACCATCACCGGCATGCAACCCCTCCATGCCTTCAACACTTACCCTACAACCACCGGCCACAACAACACCTTACCCCACCCTCACTCCACCACCCGCGTATAGTAGCGCCCCCAAACGAGAGGACTAGCTCTCATACATATCCAGTTTTCTCTCTCTGTCCACCTTTTCAAGCTCCTAAACTTAAGATGCTCTCGGTTCAGCTGCCTAGAGCAGTGACAGCGCATCCTGTTGCCGTTCTCATAGACACAATCAAAGGTTTTGTAGAAGTTGTACACACTAGAGGAGCTCTGTTTATAGACTCTACGGTGAGCAACAGATTCAGTCGGCAGTGACTCATAACTTGCTGTTTGTTTTTCCACATTGTTTGTAAAGAAATGGGGCGTCAGTGATTGACTAAGCTGATCTGATGTCATGAGGGGAAATGATGACATTTTCCCACTTTTCTTCTTTCACTAAATTGGCGGAGTGCAGATTTCATCCATTCTTTTTTGTCAGTCTCCTTTGTTATTCCATTACCAGCCCATCCCTCTCTGTCCGAATGTGATCTGTGTCCTTGGATTATGTTTTACATGAATCATAGGGGCATTCGATAAAAGACGGAAGCTGGATATGTTGTGTTTACCTGCAGTATAGTGTCAAGTATTAAATCATACCTTGTAACAAGAGACGCCGCGAATGAGAGAAAATGACAGCGTCTGACAGAAGACAAAATCAAAAGTGCCAACCTCCTCTGTTTGTGTCATTTTATCACACATATTTGACTTGGCTATGTGTTGTTTCTTAGGAAGATTTTTGTATGTATAAATATAAAGACAAATATATAAAAGAATGATATAAATATATATTTACATGGATTGCTCGGTGGGATCTATGCATGGAATATTTTAAAGCACCAAGAAGGACCCTGAGCTGTAAACTCCCACAGCTTATTTGCATTTTTTTAAGTTTGCTTGCTTAAAATGCCTACAATAGCCTTCTCCCCAGTGGTGTTTTCATCAGCATTAGCAAATGTAACATCCTCCTCAGTCTGACCACTCTGTAGGACGGTATCCTCCCACCGCATCCAGAAAGAGAGCTATTGGCAATATTCTTTCAAATGATTTTTAACATTCATATGCAGTTGTTGGTGCTATTATTTGACCATCAGCCATGTAGTGGCTCTACCAGAGCTATCTGTGGTGGTCCGGACAGTTGCATAAATACAGCAAATAGCAAATGCACATGTAGCTTTGCATCTCTTTCACGGGCCTCTGCCCATTATTCAGCTTTTATTCGCATTGTTTTTCAACTCCAGTTGATGCTCTTACACCTCAGCCCATCTTTCTCTCTCTGTGGCCTCTCTAGTTCTATCTCTGTCCTTGCTCTTTCAGTTAAGCCAAGTTTAATAAGCATCTTTTTTGTGTATTTGTGCGTGGGCACAAATAAAGAGTGTGTTTTCTAGGCAATAGCTAGGTGTCCTGTACATTTGTGTTAATTTGAATGTGTGAGGTAAGAGAATATGTGACAGAGAGGCACAACAGGAGAGAGAAAAGTAGACTTCTGAGTTAGTTCAATTCTCATAACACAAAATTTGCAGATTCCTTCGTCTGTGGCCCTCTGTCATTCCTTCAGAAAAACATACCTGGCTTTGGGCCATTTTACATACAAAATAGTAGCATGTTGTGCTAAAAAAGGAAAAGGCTGGAAGCACCTCATAATATCAGTTTGACCCACATCTCTACAGATCTCACATCTATCTGCACCACACACCTGACCTTTTTGGTTATGACAAGCACAGCGAATAGTGGTTGCGGAAAACCAGATCTATATGTAGACAGATCTTACACATTGTTTCTCCAGAATACATGTTCAGGTTAAAGAACAAATGGCTCAGAATCACTGGACAGTAACTGCGGAATTAACACAATCACTTATGTTCTGTTCATGCCTTGTTAGTCATATTTTTCTACCACTGCTGTGTGTCACGGGAGGACGACCGTTTGAGTCAGGAAATGTCTCACTGTTGGCTCAGATTGCCAGTGTATTGAGTCTGAGATGCCCAGGACCATCATGATGGAGCAAGAACCAATGCCAGTATGCTGCTCAATGTACTAAAACATGAACCGGCTTGGCTTTACAAGCATTGCTGAGCAAACATACTGGAGGTTCAGTATGCCATGAAAACAGAACTTTATTCTGCGGTGTGGACTGAAAACAACAACAACTGGACAATAAACACACTTCAGTTGCAGATACATTCTGGAGATCCGAGAGTGTAGGTTGGACCTGTGGATATGTACCATCTGTGGACTTTTGTGTGGTTGTAGGTATAACTGAACTCCGTTTTAAACAAACTATAAGGAGTTGACTAGAGCTACGTACAAAACAACCTCAGTTCTAATAATCAATACTGTTTTAAGAGATGAGTTCAGACTCTTTTGTTATTTCTCTTGTTTGTTTTTGTACGCTCAACCACTAGAGTGTGATGTTGTGGTACATACAGAATAAAGACTCTACATCCATTACGAGCCATTCATTGGGTATTCAGTTAGGGGTACAGTGAGAGAAGGATAAATAGAAATTAACTGTACATTTTTAAGTGTAAGAACGAATCAACTGAAAATATTTGTAAATATTCAGTTACTTGTTTAATGTTTTGTTTTTTTCTGGTTTAATGAAATCTGAAATACTTTGTGACCAGGACAACAGGTGCAAGTTCTAATTCAGCCACCAGCAAAATTGATGAATCTCATTTGTTAAATTCACTTTCTGCTGCTTCATTTAGTTTTGAGATCTGTGGATGGAGATGATGTATTGCTCTTATATTTGAGCATAAAGAGATTGTGTATTATGTAGCATACCAATATCACTTGAATCATCAGCTAGTCATATTTCTGCACAAGTATGATTAGCTGGTCATTTTAGATACAAAATCTGCCAGTTTACAAAAATCTTTAATATGGAGATGGACTGGAATGTCCAGTTTATTTAAGCAAAGGAAGCACTGGAAACCATGGAGGTTATGAGAAGTCTTTCATCTACCATGAACTTGTAGCATTGAATTCTTACCAAAAGGTGGTAGAGATTTCATGAAACGTCTAAAATAGGGGGAAAGTAGTGTTTTATGGTCACATTTGTACACTTAAGTATACATTTTATTATTTTTTAATGAATTAAGCATCTAGCGAAATAATGCCAAATTAAAGATGGCATAAAGAGCGCACAAGGATCTCAATATGTCAAGTCTGATGGTTTAAAGAAAACTGAATAAATGAAGCACATGTTATTCCTCTAAGAAAATAAACACTTTTTACTGGGTCCTAAAGCAAATTTACACCTGTTGCCCTGTTTTACTATACATGCTCAGAATCAGAACGCCACACTTGATGAAAAATAAACATAATGGATTTTTTAAAAAGTAAAGTAAAAATATATAATTAAGGTGATGATATTTCTCTTTATTTAGAAGTTATTACACACTGTATGCTGTGACTCTGGGGAACATTAAAGAAATTCATAGCCAGACATCAGACTCTGTTTCCTTTTAATCAAACTACCAGTCATTTAAGTGACTCATTTGATTGGAAGTAATACTTGGATTAACTGCAATAAATTGCTATACCTGAAGTGTATTTCCCAACAACTTTGATGGAAATGTCCTCTTTGACCAACAAGCATTACTGTGAATATTAGTCTTGCTTTCATTAACAGAATTGTCAACACTATCAGGAGATCAACATGTTCTATCCATCACTGGTGATTCACTTGTGTGCAAATAAGAAGCAAGGTTATTAGGAAAACTTTATTATAATAATCATTAAAGAAATTCATAGCTAGACATCAAACTGTTTATTGAGTTAAACTATTTATGTAGTCCACAGATTCTGAACAAAAATTTTTATTTTAGTGATTTGAAAAAAATCTTATACTAGGCCATTAAACAAAATATGTAATTTACTAGAGGTTCTGACATGTTCTTTGTTTCAGTCTATTTAAAGTCTATTTAAAATCCAAAATGAATCAGTGTTTTTGAACAGTTTGATTGAATGAATGATTCAGACTCGTCTCGTCTAAAAACTATATGCTTCCCTGAACATTCAAAGAACACCTGTATAGATCGTAAGCTAGATAACCTGGGTTGCCGTAATGGGGGGGGAGGTTAGGACGATTCCAAGGGCCCTATGAGGGAGAGGGGGCCCGGAATGCGATTTTTACAGAGGGGGGCCCCTCCCACCCCAGAACGCCATCACGGAGGGGGTCCGAGTCAAGATGCTGTTCAGGGAGCCCAGAAACCCTGTATATAACAAAGGGTTAATAGAAATACAGTAGCTGAATCATTGTCATTTAGGAATCAGAAGTCATAGGTGTTTGGATTGAGATCAGGATCTTTTAACAAATAATTGTGCAGTTCAGTACATAGGATAACACATATAACATTTGCATTTATTTATTTAGCAACCACCTAATTCCAAGGCACAGGTTTGTTTAATTGGTTACATCAAGTATTCAAAAACGGCAATAAATTAATACCAATACATACATATTTAAAACAATATTTTTTTTAATTAATGGTTTACAATTCTGCTTCCAAGAATCACAAAGGTATTAATCAAGTATATATTTTCTGTAGTATATCATTATAAAGAAATACATTTGATTAAAGTTTATTATTTTGACAAAAAAAAAACAGGAAAATAAGAACATATTTCACCAAATAACAAACTTGCAAAAAATGATAACTAACCTATAAAACATTTCACCATTGTACTGTATTTTGCACATTGCAATATGGCATTTTTCTTTCACGTAGTTAAACTGTCTTTCTGATTAACTCATATTCATTACCAATTCCTATATGCAAGTATTATTGTTGGTTACTGGAACACAGCTGAAACCATTTGGAAGTAATCAATGTGAGAGTGCAGCCAAATCACTGAATCTACGGTTGTGATAGAAAATAATTGTTTATTTGATGCTGAAAGACTCTTTTAAACTGTTCTCTGCTTGCTGCTTTGTGATGGATTTCCAGGTTAAGGGTATGTCAGCAGGACGAGCATTGTATACTTCAGCAAACGTAGTGTTGAAACGGGCCATCACGTATTTCCAGTAATCTGAGGCCTGTATGCTAGCATCAGCTGGGATGTGCCAGTCAGGAAAGATTTCTCTGTATCTTTTGTAAGGATGAAGATTATAGTTAGTCTGGAAACACTTAAAATGTACTTCACTGTGGACATCTGTTGAGCAGATACTAGTCACTAATTTTTCATTGTTTTCATATCTATATCTGCCAAGTCCCTGAGGTCTGTGAACTGAAGCACAGTGATCAGTGTGAGCTTCTCCACCAGCCTCACAAGGAGCACTGCAGAATGGACACTGTTGCCCACATCCAAACACACGCTTGAAGAGCTCATCCTGGGGTTTCATTTTGAGCATGCAGAGTTTACCCTGTATGTCGACTTTCTTCAGTTGTTCCATCAGTGTGTGTTCCATCTCCTCTACAGATTTGGTTAGCCAGCATGCAAATGGCTCTTGAGAAGCATTGTTTAAGACCATTACTGTTTCTAGAGCATCTTTGGGAATGATTAGCTTTTGTCCAAGCTTCCTGCATATGCAATGTATGAATCCTTTGATGCCATCGTCATTTGTTTCATTCTGTGCCATTTTGACAGCTTCTAGTATCTCCTTGGTGATTCCTCTAAGGTGGCGCTCCTCCAACTCAGACACTTCATGGTGATTCGAAAACTGTTTGGTGATTTTATCTAATATCCAGCCCTTAACAAAACCTTCATAGGAGCTAATGTATTTCACATACTGTTCAAACTTATCTTCATTCACAAGTTGCTTTAAGAGTGAGTACTGGAAAAATGCACGAGTGCTGAATTGAAATGCATTTTTTCCCTGAAGCATTTTGTCAACAATGTCTGGGCCCAGGGATCTGTAGATGAATGTCTCAACTGCAGGAATCAAGCACAGTGTGGTGAATTCTTCAGCCTTTCTCTGACACTGATCGCGATCATGGAACAGGTCCTTGAAATCATCACGATATTTGTCTTTATACTGATCAAGGCATCTACGTGGGTCATTCTCCTTGATGAAACAGTCATGCATGTCTTGAAATGCTCTTGCAGAAAACCCACAAATGTACAATTTCAAGGACAGTTCAAATTCAACTGAAAACCAACAATTCTTGTTGGACTTCAATCTGTTATCAGTTATGTGTAGGATCTCCTGGATGTAAGCATCATGGTAATCCGAAGTCTTGTCCAAAACTAACTGAGAGCATGTCTGAATGATATTATCTGCCAAATCCTGTAGTTTCATTGCAGAATTGTCATTCATTATGCGTTTAAACAACCTTTTGAGAAAGATTTCATTGGTGGCTTTGAACACCCCTGTTCCACAATTCATCAGATTCACTGTAATTAATTTTTCAGCAACAGAACTCCCCTTCTGTTTCATGTTTTCTCGAAGTTGCCTGAAAACAGAATCAAATATATTTCTTTGCTTCAATCCAGTAAACGACAGCTCATTTATGGTTTTTTGCCATATTTGTTCAAAAAAACTGTCAAGCTGCTTGTCAGTTATATGGGCATCACTCTTTGAGCTGTTGTTTTTGCGTAACTCCTCCAGTAGGCCCAGCACTTTCTTCTCCATTGTATCAGTGAATGTTTTCTTGATGTTAACCAGATTGTTCATTCCTCTCCTAATGTCCACTGTTGCCTCAAGCTGTGTCAGCAATGAGCTCTCGGTTTCCCTCCTGAGAGATTTTACACTGCTCACAAAGTCTTCTTTGTACTTTTCCACAAGATAGACATGGCCCTCTGTTTGTTCAAAGTATTTGGAAAGGTTTTCCATTGTGATCTTTTCCAAGGTGTCAAGCTTTGTGACAGCTTCTTGTTTCAGTTTGCATAAAAGATCTTTCAGATCTGACTTGTCTGATTTCAGTTTGACTGTCTCAAAATTTGACACTCTGGTTTCAGCTACTGTTAACCAAGAGTGCATATGCTTCTTGAAAGACCATTCCCATTTATGAAATTCTGTGCACAGTCTCATGTATGCATCAGCCACCAAGCTATTCCTGAAGCTAAATATGAAATTTTCATATTTGACTGCATTCCACAAGCTTTTTGTCCACTCCAAAAATTCTGATATGTTGTTTCCAGATGTTTTTTGTTTGCATTTTCCAATTACATCAATCATGTTCTTTTTAAGGTCATAGATAGCCTCAGAGTAGCCAGCGTTTACTGGTGCCATTGGAGGATTTCCATGCCACAGTCCAGGAATATACCAATTGCAAGTCTCCGGGTCATACTCCATCACATCAGTAAACATTTTATAGTCCTCCTTGTTCTCCATTTTAGCTGCAGCCTCTGTCATCTCATTCAGTTGCTCCAGCAGCAGCTTTCGATCTCTCATGTTCTTGTCATGGGCTGATACATCAGCAACGTTTTGGTGGACAAATTGGCAACTGGGTTTTTTCCCTATTTCCTTCATTCTGAGGAAAGCATGGACCACAATCTGCAAAATGTCCTTCATCTCTGTGGAATTCTCCATTGCGATGTTGATGATTGTAATGTCACTCAATCCAACAACAAGTGTGGCTAATTCATTGTCATGTTCATGGCTATCATCTAGTTTTGCCAGCTCTGGGGATTTCAGACCTTCAGTGTCAATTATCACTAAATAATCACAGCCAAGTTCTTTCTTGACATCCTCTTTGACTTTGATCAGCTGCATAAAAGCTCCTCTGGTGCATCTTCCACTGCTGACTGCAAACTGAACTCCAAACATGGTGTTCAGCAAGGTGGACTTCCCTGTGCTCTGGACTCCCAAAACTGTGACCACCATGATTTTATTATTTGGCTGCACCAAAGAGTTCAAATACAGAAGCACATCACTAACCCATCTGAGAGGAATATTTGATGCATCTCCATCAACCAGTTCCAGAGGGAAGCCATCCAACATCAGCTCAGCACATAGCCGGGGTAAGTGTAGCATTTGTTGACGAGATTGTACGTTTTCTGGAAGCGATACCGCAGCTTCATAGAGTTGGCCCATTTCACGCAGGAAGTGCTCTATTCCTAAAGAACTGTTTGAGATCTGTTGGTCAAGCTGTGCAATTTCCTCTTTGTTTTCTGAAAATTGCTGACACTTTTCTTTGTACTGTTCTCTGAGGCTAGAGAGGCTTTTTCGGGAGAGATTGTCAAGGTTCATCCGCATCCACTTCAAGAAGTAGGACCTCTCCTGGTTTGAGCTTGATAATGCACTAACAAAACAGGACATGGCCTCTGAGATATCATATTTACTCTGCTGTTTCCTGAGTTCAGTCTTTTTAATCTGGAGATCACTCTTGTATGTCTCTATGTTTTGATCACCAGCTTTCCGGAGTCTGCATTCCTCTTTTTCCAGTTTTGCCAAATCTTTCCATATTTTACCCTGAAGGGGAAGCTGATTCTCTTTGAACTGCAGTGTGTCTTGTATACTTTTCGTCAAGACATGCGCATTATTTTTTGCTTTC